GTTTGAGAGAGGCGGGGCATAGAGGACCTACAATAATGTACAGTATTTGAAAAATAATGTGTTTTTTGAACATTAAAGCATGTCAACATATTCTGTTACACCAAATACACAAAATAATGATCTTTAAAATAGCATCATATGACCCCTTTAACTTGGGTATGCTGCTTTATTATATTTTTTGAATGGCAATTTGTGGAATAGTTTTATGTTATTTGTATTGTTTAGTTGAAGACCCTCTCAACTCGCTCACTCTTCTTGTTTGAAGGGAAAAACAATGTGGGCTGTGAGACATTTTCCTTTTCACAATCTGTCTGCCGGCCAGTGGAAGAATGCCTGTCAGTTCACCACTTGTGCCTCTGACTCCTTCTCCTGTATGAGCAGTAGGAGGGTTCTCTTTTTTTCTTTTTGAAAGACAGACTAGTCTCCTGAGACGCTTACTTACATCCACAGAAGGACAAGCCCTCACAAATCGATATCCCAGCTGCTGTATTTTTCTTTCCTAACTGCAAAATCCAGTTACCATGGAAGCCAGCCACACGTGTTTAGGAAGTCTTTTTCTTCCTCTTTTATGCTAATAAATCACACTTCAGGTGTTTTTTCTTCCAACCTTATTTGAAACTTTCCACATTGCCTGTTTAGTAAAGAGTTAATTGAAACCTCATGTAGCTGAGATACAGTATGTGCACTTGTCTTTGAACTCACTGATCAAGTCACAAAGTAAATGGTGACTTCACTCAAAAAATGGAAAATCTCATTTATCAAGACTACAGAGTTACTTTCTTATGATGGAAATTCCCTTTTTAATATCCATCAAACAATGTGTTATGCAACATATTTAAAAATTCATGATGCTGTGTTGGGATGATTGCTGTGTTGCCGTTTTAGCTGGTGTTTTCCTATAGCTTTTTTATTTCAGCCTTTGATGGGAATGCTTTGTTGCATCACACAGTAGCTTAGATAACAAAAACTGTTTATGAAAGGTTTACTTGGTTTTGCGCCAAGTCACAGAAACTGCTTCTATATTTTGATGTCTTTTGCTGACCACAGAGTCCAATTTAGATTTTGGAAAGGCACAGTTCTTCATTAAATCTGTTCAACCTGCAGCTGTAACCGCTTGGTCAGAGAAATTTAAAAAAGACTGACCGTTCCATTCACAAAAAAAGCCTTTCTCTTGATTTACAGAAATGACCATTTCATGTTTTTGAGTACTTGGTTGTTCATTTGTTGGTTTGTTTTGCCTTGTGAAAATTCTGGACATTTTAAAATCCATAATAGTCTTTAGGTCATATAAATGAACGCTTGTCATTGTAGAACTCTATACAAAGTGTATCCATGTTGGAATAAACCCACATAATTGCACTACTTGCATTTCCAGTGTGGTACAGTAAGGATACCCTTTTACTCTGCCACATGTTCATCCACAACCGCATTCTCATTCCTAGTTCAAAATCTCTGACTTTAGCTTGCATTACTTGCTTGAGGTTTTTTTTTTAAATGAAAGACACCCCTCTCTTTTCTGGTTTATGTTGTCGGGAGGAGGGGGATGACCACGTCATGGTCTCCTACACTTTTCATGAAAAATGATGTTCTACAGCAATGGTTTTTCAACCTTTTTCAGGCCAAGGAGCACTTTTATGCCTGGCCATTGCAAAGTCATTTTTTTTTATTTTACTTAATACAATTGTACTGTGTAAGAGAGAAGGAGAGACAGTGTCTAGTTTAGCATCTTTAACTTTGGTTAAAGTTAATTTAATGATGTGTTTTTAATGCATGTACCACTGTTCAAGAGTTTGGGGTCGTTTTTTTGTTGATGTTAGCAAAAGTCTCTCATGCTCACCAAGGCTGCATTTTTTTGTATCACAAATACAGTAAAAACAGCAATATTGTGAATTATTATTACAAATGAATATAACAGCTTTCTATTTTAATATATTAATATTTAATTTTTTTTAATGCCATTTATTCCTGTGATGTCAAGGCTGGATTAACAGCAGCCATTACAGTCTTCAGAGTCACATAATCCTTCAGAAATCATTATATTACTATGATTTGGTGTTTAAGATATTTTTTAATATATCTTATTATTATTATTATTATTATTATCAATGTTGAAAACAGTTGTTCTGCTTAATATTTTTGTGGAAACCATGTTAATTTTTTCATTTGTTTTGTAACATTATAAATGTCTTTACTGGAATCTTAAAGGGGACATCGGATGCCCATTTTCCACAAGTTAGTATGATTCTTTAGGGTCTTCATGAAATGTCTTTAACATATTTTGGTTAAAATTCCGCAATAGTTGTGTAAAACAACACCCTTTTTACTTTGCCAAAAAACAGCTCTGTTCACAGTGACCCGTTTCAGTGCATGTCTCTTTAAAGGGGTCATATGATGCGATTTCAAGTTTTTCTTTCTCTTTGGAGTGTTACAAGCTCTTGGTGCATAAAGAAGATCTGTAAAGTTGCAAAGACTAAAGTCTCAAATCCAAAGAGATATTCTTTATAAAAGTTAAGAGTCAACCACGCCTACCTAAAACGGCTCATTCTCTTAAAGGGGTCATATGATGCTTTTTTAAAGATCATTATTTTGTGTATTTGGTGTAACAGAATATGTTGACATGCTTTAATGTTCAAAAAACACATTATTTTTCAAATACTGTACATTATTGTAGGTCCTCTATGCCCCGCCTCTCTCAAACGCTTCGTTTTCTACAAAGCCCCCTCCTTTGACAAGCGCAGTCCGCTCTGATTGGCCAGCTGACCCAGTGCATTGCGATTGGCCAAACACCGCAAGCACTCATCGGAAATGTAACACCTCATCACTGTGTCTGTCACGTGACTCTGTTATGACATTATTTACTGTCTTTACATTTATTTTGAAAGATGAAGCTCGCGTTTATGGTAAGGGGCGTTACATTTCCGACGCGTGCTTGTTGTGTTCGGCCAATCACAATGCACTGGTTCAGCTGGCCAATCAGAGCAGACTGTGCTTGTCAAAGGAGGGGGCTTTGTTGAAAACGACGTGTTTGAGAGAGGCGGGGCATAGAGGACTTACAATAATGTACAGTATTTGAAAAATAATGTGTTTTTTGAACATTAAAGCATGTCAACATATTCTGTTACACCAAATACACAAAATAATGATCTTTAAAATAGCATCATATGACCCCTTTAAATGATAATGAGCTTCTGCTCACCCCACCCCTTGCTTCTGTGGGGCATGTCCACATAAGACACATGAATTGCTGCCTTGGTCTTATTCATATAGCTAGCTAATAGCTATCTATGTAGAATGCGGCTGCAAATTGAAACCGCTCGCTGGATGACACAGTTTCAGACTCAGACAGCCCATAACAAACTGGCTGCGTGTTTTCTATTCAACTTTTCTGAGCTGGTAGACATGCCAGAAACCTAACTAAATGCAAAAAAAAGCTAAAAAAGTGAAACATTTCATCCAGTGTCCCCTTTAATAGATCTTTGATGAATAAAATTATTAAAGTGTATTTTTTAAAAACAAAAATCTTACATACCCCAAACTTTTAAATGGTAGTGTATTTAACACAAATGTAAACATATTTCACAAATGTGAGGTAAAACTGTTTTTGACAGACCTCCCTTGTTGAAGATTTCTGTTCTATATCATAAGGTACACAGGGCAATGGAATGTTTAGGCCACTATATTTGCTGAGCTCAGCATCTCATATAAGGGCCTTTCGCACCGCAGGAACCTTTTCATAGTATCAGAACTAATTGTGGAACTACCCACTTTTTGGCGTGTTCGCACCGCCGGAACTGTTCCGATCACTGCGTCCTCCATCCTCCTGTTGTTAACGTTGTTTTTCTTTGTTTCTGTTGTTGAACGCCGTGCACAAATGACGACAGGCTTACGTCACTTCTTAGTACACACTGTCGGTGCGAATGCAACCCTTTAAATAGTACTGGGAAATAGTTCGCTCAAAATCGTCCCAGTACTTTAGTACTGTACATTTAGTTCTGGAACTAAAGCGGTGCGAAAGGCCCTCTAGTCTTTCAAAACTCAACCCACATGGTCTCATTGCATAGGAATGTATATCTACTTCTAAAGCTCTTCATGTAGTCTTACGAGTCTACTGAAATGATTTAGCTTCATTCCTTCTGACGCATTTACAGTTCACGTAGGCCTAGATACTTCCTGGAAGAATTTGGTGTTAGTCCATATAATTAATGATAAATAAATAAATGGGATGAAATGCATTTAGATGCTGTTATATAAATCTAATGTCATATGTTGAAGTACCTTCTGATATTCAGTGTTGCGTAAGATGTTCTCCATGTACTTCAATTTTCCAGACTCTCCAGTAAATTTGGGGAAAGAATTTTAACCATGCACCTTTGCCTGATTATCAAGGTGTCTGGGATTACTTGATGTGAGCTTAAAGGCAGCAACCTCTTCTTTGCCTTTTTATCCATCTACTATATACGTCAGAACCCATTAAATGCATTCTTACAGTCTGGCTACAGACGTGAATTGTAGTTGGCTTAAGGGTAAACACAGCTGGAAGTTTTTTCAGAGGTGGAGCAGGTCAACGAGTCGTGCTGATAGGATGTTTATAATGAAGTGAAGCACTGTAAAACCGGTTTAGTTTAAAGTGTTAAAGTGTCCAGTTAAGAGTTTCACAACATGGGAGCATTGAATAATGCTGACATAGAACAAATTGAAACTTTACGCTATTATATATATATATATATATATGAAAACGGAGCCTTACTAGAGTAACCCTACTGACAGGACATTCCTTGTTAAAACATATAATATGTCTAATATGTCTGGCCTTTAGTTTGTCACCCTGCAATTATTTTTTATTGCTAATACAAGAATCATTGTATGTCATAAATCAGCTTTAATTTTGCAGTAACAATATGTGTCTTCTTTCGCCCCTTAGAGTCTGAACATTCAGGTGGAGGATGTTCGTATACGCCCCATTTTGTCATCATATCGTAAGCGCATCCCAGTGACAGAGGGCTATGTGGAGGTGAAGGATGGAGGCAAGTGGAAGCAGATTTGTGATGATGAGTGGATTCAAATGAACAGCAGGGTTATCTGTGGCATGTTCGGCTTTCCTGGAGACAAGAGATACAACACCCGTGTGTACAAGTGAGTTCTCAGTTGCCCTTCAGTTGAGATGTCTTTTGTTCAAATATTCCTTGAGAATATTGATTTCTTTCTACATAAAAGCAAAAGTAACTTTGGTGACCTCAGAAAAACGTAGAATTGTAATATTTTACATGGAGGTACTCCTCTTGAGATAATAAAAATCCTACTCCATTCAACTCCCACCACAGCAAAATGGAAATACAGTGCACATGGAGTTTAATAGTTTGATTGTAGTTTTATTTGGAATGTACACTGACAAATATGTTTCACATAAAAATATGGCCATGTTTTCGGTTGAATTCCATCCCATGATTCGATCTATGGAACAAAGCAAATGTTTCAATCATAGTGCTACTATAGTGTATGAATTCTTAACAGCTTTGATGCATATTTTGTTGTCCAGGGACCCATGGGGTCCTTAAAGGTACTGCAGGGTCTGTGTTAGCTGACATACGAAACATTTACAAATTTCGTAAAATATATAGAGGTTTTAGTTGTGTAGACAAGTGAACTAAGTTATCCAATATAAGAGTTTCATCACAAAACTATTTTATTTTATTTCATTTTTTTACTGAATGAGGATGGACTGAATGTTCAGGGAAAATCATCCTAAACTATGGATTAAAAAGCAGGATATATCTTATGATGTTGGAAGAGAGAATGTCCAAGTGTGCGTTTTTACTCTACTTTTAGTAGTGTATTTCTAAACGTACTGAATAATACAGTAGAGGAAATCTTTTTATATTAGAGCTTCCGTTGTTTAGAATTTCCAATTTATGCTTACATTTTCATTTATAAAAAATTGAAGTAAAACCACTGGTTACCTCTCAAGCATGTCTAGGCAAGTGAACCTTATTTGAATCACATCATGAAGGATGTTTCTGGCGAGTCCTTGAAGAATTTCCTTGCAGATAAATCTCTGCAGTACTCCTACTAGAAAATAGGCAAACAAATAGGAAAATCTGCTGAGGGCAACTCAAACTTATACTTTCTGCTAAGCTATTACATTCCATACTGTATTCATAATGTATGACTCGAGTAAATCTTCATGAGCACTTTCATAACTGTGGAAATCAGCACTAAAGACTAGTTAGACTAGATAATAATTAATCTGCTATATGAGAAAACACATAGGCACAGTGGAAATTAAAGCTTAATATTTGGTTGTATTCTCAGACGCTTCAGCTAAGCTACGTGCTTCCCCTCACATGGTGTGCCTTATGAAATGTGCAGGCGCTGTCTGTTTTTTTTAAATCGGTGCTTGATGTTGGGGGGAGGGGGGACACATAGCCAAAGGCTGTAGTTTTTTCAGCATGGAGCCAAAATGGGCTTCTTTTCAACTACCTCTGTCTGCCCTGTGGCTTTAAACCGTGCTTTCATAAGAAAACTTGGACTATCCTTTCAGAGGACCGTGCATGAACGGCTCCTGTAAATAATATGGCTCTTTTCCTGGCTGGAACAAGCAGACGATGTTCTCAGATGATAAAGCACCGGTGTGGAAGTATAACAGCTTTCCCTACAGCTGTTCCCGCAAACAATATAAATGAACTGCCTGGTTATATGTTCAAGCTTTTGTAACAAAACGTTAGATCAAATCTGTGAGTTAAATGCTATGTCTGGCATTTCTTTTGTATCTACCAAAGCCTGTGTGTGTGTGTGTGTGTGTGTGTGTGTGTGTGTGTACTGGTTTATATATCCTGGTGGGGACTTAAACCTGACTACACACAGACTCATGGGGACTCGTGTCACGGTGGGGACCTAAATTGTGGTCCCCACGGGTACAAAAGCTTATAAATCAAACAGAATTAAGTTTTTTGAATCATCATGGCATTTCACATGAAGCTTGTTAAATATTCTGTTTGTATGATGAGCACCATTTTTCCTGCAAGAATGTATGACGTCACTTCATCAACGTTTCATCTTTTTACAGTTCAGTGTGTATCACATCTTGAATGCAGTCATTAATCATTTACTAGCCATATTATGACTAGGATCTTCCACTTGGGCCTATACATGAGTTTTGTTTTAGTAATGTTTATTCAGTTTAATTCTTAAATCCCCTGTGCTTTATTTCTCAGGATGTTTGCCCGCCGGAGAAAGCCAACATACTGGGATTACTCCATAAATTGCACCGGAAATGAAGCTCATTTGTCTAGCTGTAAGCTGGGCCACATGCTCTCCATTAAAGCCAATAGCACGTGTGAGCAGGGCAGTCCTGTGGTAGTCAGCTGCGTCCCTGGCAGAGCTTTCGCCCCGACTCCCATGGAAGGATACAAGAAGGCCTTCAGACAGGAGGTGAGGCCAGATGATGTATTTCTTCCAAAAAATGCAAGAAGCCACACGTCCACATGAGGTATTGCTTTGTGCTGAACTTCTGACTCTCACCTTTATGAAAACTATTAAGTATTGAACAGAGCTCAGCACATTTTATCTCCATGATGATAGTGAATCTTGATCTAGACTAAGCGGTTACTTTAAAGTGAATCGTCTCTTACTTATTTAAAGAAGTTTATATGGTAAAAGTGGCAAAAGTTTTCGAGTCCAATATTTTAAGTTGCCACAAACTGTGATTATATGAATACTAATGTTAGAGAGTGAAGAAGAGGATATTTTTGAATCTCTAAAGCACTGTGATGACAGGCATTTTAGCCAAAATTGACATCACTCTTTCCAAATGACATATTTAAGTGGTCCATGTGGAAGCTTGCCTGTTACATACCATTCAGCGAGGTCAGTGAGTTCATTAGCATGATACAGATCTGCACCATTTAAATGTATTCCTGAAATAATTCCTATAGAATATATAGATCGATTTTATGGTCAAAAATGAAGCATTACATGAAATGAATACTTTTATCCAGCAATGATATATTAAATTGATAAAAAGTGACAGTATGAATTTATGATGCTACAAAAAAAATCTATTTCAAATAATTTCTTTCCATTTCTTTTGAACAATGTACTGTGGTTGCCAAAAACATATTAGCAAGCACAAATGTTTTGTGGGAGAGAAATGGATTTATTAACTTTTATAATCTTTTATAATGATGTTAGGCTTATGATGTCTTGAGGTTTGTCATGCACATCTGCCATAAGAGTTGCCTGAATTATTGGAAAACTTCTCAAATGTGACCCTGGACCACAAAACCAGTCTTAAGTCGCTGGGGTATATTTGTAGCAATAGCCAAAAATACATTGTATGGGTCAAAATTATTGATTTTTCTTTTATGCCAAAAAATCATTAGGACATTAAGTAAAGATCATGTTCCATGAAGATATTTTGTAAATTTCCTACTGTAAATATATCAAAACTTAATTTTTGATTATTAATATGCATTGCTAAGAACTTCATTTGGACAACTTTAAAGGCTATTTTCTCAGTATTTTGATTTTTTTGCACCCTCAGATTCCAGATTTTCAAATAGTTGTATCTCAGCCAAATATTGTCCTATCCTAATAAACCAAACACCAAAGGAAAGCTTATATATTCAGCTTTCATATGATGTATAAATCTACATTTCGAAAAATTGACCCTTATGACTGTTTTTGTGGTCCACGGTCACAAATATTAATTTCCTTCAACTAGTTTATAACCAAAGAGTTTCATCTCTTCTGCTAAGAGGAGTCATTCTCTTCTTCTTCCTTCACAGCAACCCCTGGTGCGTCTCAGAGGTGGAGCTGTAGTTGGAGAGGGGCGTGTGGAGGTGTTGAAAAATGGAGAATGGGGCACGATCTGTGATGACAACTGGAATCTCGTAGCAGCTACTGTGGTGTGTCGTGAGCTTGGATTTGGAAGTGCCAAAGAGGCTCTTTCTGGAGGTCAACTTGGACAAGGTGCAAATAGTTGAATTGATCAGAAGGTTCTAGACAGAACATTACAACCACCCTGACTTCTGTGCATTTGCTTGGGCCCTTTTTAAGTATTCATAGCACAAGGTGCTAAATTTGATATATTGCTTGTTATAATGAAAGTCATTGCCATCAGTGTGTTCACTACAGACACTATCTTTCTAGCACACCTTTATTTTGCAACTTGAATACAACTGCTTTTATGACTCCTGGGGCATCTGGAATCCCCAGGGGGCCACAAGGTGTGGGAGGAAAAAAAATAGAATTTGAGTTGTTTCTCTTCTACAATGGTGTTTTGGTGCCACATGAATAAATAAATGAATGAATAAATAAATAAATAAAAGATTACAAGAATAAAGTTATAGAAGTAGCAATACAAGATTAAAGTCATAATGTCATAATGACATAACGTCTTTGCATATGAAACAAGTATTACACATGGAACTCTTTCATGTGTTTACTATTAGTAGAAAACAAGTCATTTTGGAGTCATTTTGAGTTCTGAAATTTAAGGTATATTTTTTATAGTGCAATGACCTTTTATATGTAAGAAATCAGGGAAAATTGGATTTTATGATTCCATATTATATTAACATATTTTTTGCTGTTTGCTGTTGTTCACACAAATGGATCTTGAAAAATGTATAGATGACTTTATATGTTATGAAATAGGTCCCCATGGGGATCATCATGTTTAGAGGTTTTCAGACCCCTGGCCTAAATAATATATTAATGCAATAATTAATACATACAATACAGTATATCTGAATGTCTGAATTTGTAGTAGTCCCACCATGCTATGTCAATTAAAGGTGTTTGGTTTTGACAAATTGCATGGTTCCATGTTTGTTTTAGGTCACTAATCAATAGTTGTCCTAAAAGTGATCCAAATGATATGGTAGATCATGGTCATATAGCCTCTGGATGGATAGTTCCCCCTCAGGAACTCGAGCTGCGTCGAAACGCTTTGGGAACGCCTTCAGCGTGATCACGCTCTAAATCACATGTGTAATCAGTCCAAATGAAGGGCGAGACGTCACGGGCGGGGTGACGTAACGACCAGGAAGCTTAAAAGCACGTGCGGTGGAACCAGCGTCAGCTTTCTGTCATTCAGCAAGCGCTCTGTGTGTGTGTCAGTCGCTATCTGTTTGTGAGTCTTATTTAGTGTTGTTTGTCCACTTATAAGCTCCATTACGTCAAAGTTTCAGTCGAAAGAAGCATTTGGGCGAGCAGGCAGCGTTCAGGCTGTGTGTTCCTCCCTGCCCGTACTATATTTCGGGTGGGGACACACACAGTTTGTTTGTTGTCTGCTTGGGAGCGAAGCTTTTGTTACTGCCTTGCTTCGCTCTCAGAGGGTTCTCTTTGAGGAGGGAGCCTTCACTAGCGTTTCTCGTGGTGCCGGCCCCGCTTTTGCCGAGGCGGAGCGGTGGCTGTGCTCGTGGGTTTCTCATATCGATCCGGTAGAGGGAATGTAGATGGGCGAGTCCCTATCTTCTTCCTTAAC